AGATATCTTCGCTTCGATCCTAATTGACTGAAGTCTTTGGCGTCCGTGAACAACCAGGAATGTATGTTATGTCATCGTCCTTTGACCCTTTAATACCTAATACTGACGGGCATCTAATTTCTCCTTTCAATATCATCCCCGAATCAAACATTATGGTCATGAGAATAAAGAAAACGATGATCAATCGAAGAACCTCTTGATTGTTAAACAAATTCTCCTTGCCAGCACATTAGGAAATTGCACATGTAACCACACAGGATCTCGCACAATTTCAATAGCACCAAGGTTTTCTCTTTGATTACATGACTCATAGATAATGTCAAAAACCCATTTCGTGTAGTACTATGAAGGTTAGGATGATTATAAAAAACACCATAACACAGCTCCAGAAAACAATCAACTGCACAGGAAAATTTACCAGCATTGTGTAAACAGTAATTACAGAAGTGATCTCTGCCAAATGAATGGGTATTTTCCTCTAACAGTTTTGCAGCTTCTGAGTAATTTATGTTTCCATTTAATCTGTGTGCTTTTTTATCAGAAATTGCCAAGGGATTGAATGATTTACGACTAACAACATAAACAATATACTTTAACAATACTTCGGTGCACGCACTTCAGCAAGTAGACTTTGGACCTGAGCACTTCTGATCGGATTTCAACCGAATCTAAGCTCCCTGAGATCCAAACTGATTTGCTAAGCTCCCTGAAGCTTGACCGATAATGGCTTCCTGGCAAACAGTGTTAAGGCAGTTTTGCATTTTTGTGCACGCTAATGAATAAGCACAAAACTGACAGCGACACACCGTGTAACTCGTGACTCGTTTGAGTACACTAGGTCGACTAAAGAGGCTTTGTACGCCCTTTGATTGAGTTTATTTTTGTCAATACAATTGACTATTTTTGGCAAGACAAATGACTGTTGTTTTGGCGCGCTCGCCGTGACTGTTACGGAGTCGTAACCCTCGCGTCCTCGCGAGGGTGACTTGTTAACATTTAGTACGCTTATTCTTTATACTGTTCTTTATACGTTCCTAATGTGCTGACAAGGAGAATTTGTTTAACGAGGAAGAGGTTCTTCAGTTGATCGTCGTTTTCTTTATTCTCATGCCCTTAATGTTTGATTCGGGGGTGATATTAAGAGGAGAAACTAGATGCCAGTCACTATTAGGTATTAAAGGGTCAAAGGACGATGACATAACATACATTCCTAGTTGTTCACGGACGCCAAAGACTTCAGTCAATTAGGATCGAAGCGAAGATATCTTACTTGGTGAAGAAGACACAGTATACGTCACACTATTGTTTTAATTGTGTTCTTTTTCCCAGTTATGATGGAATTCTATTGTGACGTATAATTTGTCTTCTACACCAAGTAAGAGCCAAAGATACTTGCTTGAAACAAGACAGTAAAAGATCAAGAATCTTAACCGGGGAAAAGAGGTACGATTTCACTCGTGTAATTTATATTTGCATGCTTTCGGATTATGTATGTTATCGCAGTTATCGTGCGTGATTTAATTCAATTCTAAAATAGTACTTCCGTGTACGCTTGTGCATGTCGGCTGATTGCACCGCAATAGCACATGTTACGAATAGTTTTTCTAATCGTTCGTAATATGAGTTTGTGTCGTAAATTACCTTTCAGTTCTTATGTTTTCAAATACCTCATTCAAGAATATCCCCAATAATAAAGATTTCGATTTAATACAAAAGATAAGTGCTCGAGATCAGTAGGTCTCCACCTCCGAACAAGATATGTTTGTTTAAGAGTCCAAACCCGCTACAAGCATCATTATTGTTATCAAATTGCTTGTTGTTCTTGCCATAATTGTGATACAATGTGTTCCCGAAAGCAACCTGTGTGTTTTCTCACGATCAAAATGAACTCATAAGTTTTATCCAGATGTAATACTGACTCACCAAAAAAAAAAAGGAAAGTAATCCCAAACCACAGCTCAAGAAAAGAAACTTAGAAAAAAGACAAATAGGCATAATTTCAACTCTTGATAAACCAATAAATTCATAAATGCGTATTTAACATTAAAATTCGTGGTTGAATTATTTATGGTTCTATTTCAGCAAAAATCGAATTGAAGGTTTCAAAAAAATATGAAAAGAGAACAATTTACGAAAAAAGGGCAAACCATCCTCCATACTCCATTGAGTAAATCTGGAGGAAACGGCTACAAAGATTGAAAATAATGATATTATTGTACAATTTTAACTAGGTATTTGGCTATAGCTAAAAAGAATGGGTGCTTGAAAAATCAAGGCTCCTTGGGGTTACCTCACCATGATATCTCTTGATATTCAGTTTTTTTTAAAAAAAAAAATGTTGAGTAGTGAGAACTTTCTCAATTCCTTTGCCGTGCCATGTCCTTCCACTAGCTCGTGGTGTACCCCAATTAAACCATATGCACAATAACAATAGACAACATAAGGTTTCAAGTATTATTTTATATATATATATATAAATTGACGATCAAACAGTACAAAGTACTGGAGGATAATGATGACCAAATTGAATTTAATGTGATTGAAGAAATAAGAAAGTAATAAGATTTAATGCATCTATCAATTCGAAGCTTCAACATCCCTCTCTCCCAGGTAAGCCTTGGAGCATTTGAACTTTGATAATTGGTTTGTTGAAATTCCACCTCGTGACAGTTTTCGGATGGCGGGCAATCTTTAAGTAAACACGAGAGTAAGGAAGAGAATCATTTATCGACCTCCGAGATACGTTAAACGATTTATGATTCACTAACAATCTTTTTTTTCAGGATTAACTTTTTTAAACTTCTTCTCTTAATTCGTAATTAGTCATGACTCCCTAGTTTTAAACACCAGTGATTCCTTCCAATTTAACCGCTGTAAATCATGACACGTTTGTCTCTTCAAATCTTTATTTTTGAGTAAAACTTAGAGGCTTTTAAAACGCTTCTTCTTCGACCGTTATCATTTTCATAGCTGTGTTCTAGCCAAGCATTCGCAAAATTCAGGGGGAGCGGTGAAAGGGAATTATTTCACTTTTATCCTGGCTTCGTTCATTTATTTGATAATTTATTTATTTATTCTCTTTTTCCCAGCCTGTAACTTTGAACATAAAGAAAGAAACTGCAACTAAACAGCTCCTGATCTAATTGTTGATTTGTAATACCAGCGCTCTGTTTAGCTGAAGGTAAGGATTGATTGCTTTTTTCTTCACGCAACAGAACAAGTGGCTCGTTGATATGGCGGAAGTTTGGCGAGCGAGTGTGAGAGCGAGTGCAGGGAAAGACTGGAGAGACAATTAAAATTGTCCTAGGGGGTGAACGACGGTCAAAACATAGGACGGATAGGACACCTCACCGCCCATTTTAAATCAAACATGGTCGGTCTAATGGACGATCGCGAGCTTGTAACGTTAACTCGCCCCAACAAGACGCATGCACTGTAGGCTAATATAAAGGCGATTTATTTTCAATTTTTGACACCTCTTTTCACTCAGGATTTTAAATGAGTACCAGAAAACGGTTACAGAAACTTGCTGGGGTTTAGGTGTAAATCGACAAATTAAATACCATTGACGCGAGAAAGGAAACTTACACATTCAGATGCAACAATCATTGCGCTTGAATGTGGTGTTTGAAAGTGGGCAGAAATTATGTGTAAATAGAATAAGAAAGACAATAGATTTTGAGAACGGTAAAGATGTAGAGAAAGTGATATCTTTTGTCTTGTCAAGAGCGTGGGACGAAGTGCGCGGAATCCAACGGTTTCGCAAATGTTTTTCTTTTAGCTAGAATTGAGCAAGATCCACAGTTACTGTACGAACTCTTTGACATCCCTTCTCAATAGCAATGATATAATATAGCAGGACTGATAGGGAGCTTTTTTTTTCAACAGATTTAATTTCGAGGTCAAGATGCAGCTCCGTGACGTTGAGACCGAGAAACAACGTGTCACACCATGTGTGCTCTTTGGGCTCCTTTGCATTTTTTTGGGAGGCATTTGCCTCACAGGGTATTTCCTGACTCCTGGTGGCTCTGCACCTAATCCTAGTGATCCTGCTTCTTACGAAAAATATCATTTCAGTAACAAACCGCATGCCCTACCATTTGGCATAACTTTTATGTCGATTGGATTCTTACTCCTTCTTGGTGTCGTTCTTTGCCAGAACGAAGGTGCTGATTGTTAAAGAAAACCAACCCTAACCTCATCCTACAAATACAGTATATTTTTTGGAAAAGTAGTTTGTGTGTTTAGTTCACATTATTGCAATTACATCGTTAAGAATCGTACTAAAAAATATTTGCAACCTATTAAGTGAAGGTACCCTTGAAGTTGTATTATCGGATGACAAAAACTAGCTGATCACAATGCAATTGAGTCAGGTTAACGGAAGAGTCAATAACTAAAATATGGAGTTTTACAAGGACTTTGTTTTGGTAGAGATAACTTCAGTTCTGTGTTGGTAGCCCTCAAATGGTCCAAATAAGACATAAATATTTCAAGTATCTCTTCGGAGAATCTGAAATAAGGTTAAAGATATTACAGAGCAAACAATTGCAAATCAACCATCTGGAGAGACATTAAAACCGCATTGCTGACTCACAGCGACACCATCGGTGCTCCTCCTCAAAGGAAAAAGGGCCTCCTATCATTGTTTTCTTTTTTACTCTGGGGAGTCCCCTGGCAAGCCTCGATTTCGTGTAATAGACCCAGTTTCCTTGGCTCCCGCACGGCACGCCGTCAAGCATATTGAACTTGCGCTTTCATAACGGCTGACGGAACGGGAGTTCGTAATTCTCTATGTTGGACTCACTTGCACGGCGTATGTTAATTCCAAGATTTGTGTTTTGTATGATAATGATGATATAGACCCGGGTGCTTTATTCGAACAACTTTTAACTCAGCATTGATGACACGGTCGAGTAAGTCCCAGTCCTCTCCGCCCCATTTGTAATTGTAGTCCTTGGTGTTCATTCCTATAGAGAGTACATATGACCACATGAGATTCAAGAGGTTTCCGTTTACCAATTGGAAAAAAATTCAAGGATTCACAATTTTAAATGTACTTGTAGAGATTAGATTAGAGACTTATAATAAGTTTTTTTATAGTTAAGTTCAAAGTAGTTGCTTTTAATTTTCGTATAATTTTTCTGGCCTAAAATAGCACTTGCCTAAATAGAATATCTTGCTATGCAACTGAATGAAAATCGAGGGGTGAATTTGTGCATGTTGCATGTCAGTTCTAGGAACTGATGAAATTATGATCAACATTGATTTAAAGGAGCATCAACTGAAAACTGATGTTTTTTTTTTACCTCCAAACCTCACCCAGTCTGATTTATAAATGCTCATTAAGCCGAATCCTTCCATTTCCCAATAACCTTTATGATCTACATACGTACTGCCACAGTGCAACCGGCCTACAATGGGAGCGTAAACAAGATGTCCTTCTACAGTGTTCTGCAAAACAAAGAATTGTTATTAAAGCTAGAAATGAGGACAGTAGAGAAAATTATGATTAGATCAATGTAAATAAAAAAAGATTAGTGAGATGTATTTACATCAGATAGACTGGAGCAGTCTACGGCGACGTCCACCGTGCGAGTTAAAAAAAACAGCACACGATACGATAGCGCGCCACGCGGAACCTTGGAGTGACACCCACGAACTCCTAGGCTTCTCTCGGACGCTCTAACTAATTTTTTTTACTAATTTTTTACTCGCGCGACGGACTTCGCTGAAAAGCAGGGACTGCTTGTAATCAAGCATCAAATGGCACACCAATCTAAAGGCAAGCACCTGTATAAAGGTTTACTAGTACTAGTTCATAACACTACAATCGATATCCGCACGACACTATAAAGCTCGCGAGATTGATCTATAACATAAATACTAAATAAATATATAGATTAACGAGTATATAATCATTACTCAAATCAAAGATAGAAACTCACCTTACGAACGCTGTCCAATATGTCCAAGGGAACGTCGATATGGAGATCAAACAAAAACAAAACGTCATGTATACTTGGAATATGCTCAACAGCTTTGTTCAAAGCCAGTGTCTTGTAAAATTTCCCTTTTAATGGAATAATCGTGTGTCTGTTATGAAGAAGAGTGCTGTTAAATGCCTTTGTCATGTCAATATCCTCGCTTTCAAAGTCAACAACAATGACATGAAAGTTCGTATCGCCCGTTAAAGAGCTGGCTATTGTGATTTCGTTTATAAAATGATACACCCATCTTCCTTGTTCCTTGACAGGGAGAATAAAGTACACCTTAGCTTTATTGTTCCAGCTCATACCTCGAGGAAAACACAAGTTGTGGTTGGCATCCTTACCAAACACATGCTCTGATAAACGAAATGATTGACTGACGTCTTGTAAACCGAGCTCAAGATCTACAGAATAAAGATCGCCATGAACTGGATCTGGGATGTTTAAAACCTTGTGAATTCTCTTCAGAAAATATTTCCTAGAAGTAAATCAAAGAATGATATCAGTTTGATAGTGTAGTGGACTTCATTGTATGTAATGTGTATCTCTAAAACAACCTTGGTTTCCAGGAATTTTTTCCTCTCCCAAGATGGAGGGAGTAACTTGGGAAATCGAAATTAAGCCAGTTAATGAATGACATACACACACCTCTTTGATGCATGTGATTGGCTCTGGTCTTAAAGCACTCGTTCCAAACTCAGCAAGAATGGTTACCTAGCAAAATACATTATTTTGCTGACATTTCAGCATAGCGTATCATAATAATGGTCTACAAACATGATTAATAGCATAAGAATAACGATATTTGCATTCCACTAAGCATGAATTTTGAAAGACGCTAGTCACGGTTTGGGGGTCTTTGTCAGGGCTCCAAGCTCAACGCCTTTCAAAGTCGTCATTTGACGACCTCGAGTCATAAAGAGAACATCAACTGTTGATTTTCTCTTGGAGTCATAGAATGGTCGCTGGAAAAAAAAAAAAGGAAGAACAATTTTCGCCCTGGAAAAGGAAAATGTGCAGTATTACACGACACGCTCTACTGCTAACCACAAAGCAGACTGGTTGTGATGTAATTAAGCTTTACGAGACATCTTGCCCAGCCGTAGAGAAATAACTATAACATCGTATGCAGATGTTAAACTCACTTTCACGTTAAACCGAAAGCACCAGGTGATTCAGGTCGTCAAATTTGCGACTGCTACAGCAACTCTACTCGCCTAAATTTTTCACTACACGCCTCGGCAACCAAAAGGGTTGCGGCCTGGAGCACTATTTGTCATTTGCAATCCGTGAAAATCATGGCCTGTTTTTTAAACTTTTTTTTCTTCTTAATAGACTTTTATCGTTACGTAGCGCATCCACAGCAGTTTTTTGGCATTTGCTATATTGTTGATAGTTTAATTTTTAGGTCAACTTACTTTGAGGTTTTATGGTTTAACGACGTAATTATCTCATCCGTGACTGCATGAATTTTGTCCCCGTTAGCAATTTTGTTGGGCCAGATCCGCAAATTTTTATAAGTCAACGCACTGCTATCATCAGCAGGGTAGACGCTGGATAACTGCACCGCTTTGCGGCCTTGA